AGGCAAGGATGTAAAACTAAGTTATTGTAAGTTAACACACATATTATGTCGCTATACCAGACAGATTTATAAATTTCTTTCCAGAATTATAATTTGCCTACAAATATAGTACTATAATTCATGCTTGCTCTTACAATTTGACTTTAAATTTTTAAATAATAAAAACATATTAACTGAGCATCTACTATGTACAAATAAGAGTCATAACACAAAGAGAATAATTCTATTGTGACTGCAAGTAAAATATCTGAAAATAAATAGAAACTCTATTTCACTCAAAAGTCATATATAAGGATTTATTACATTACCTATCCAGAATTATCTGTAATTTGGCTTAATTACATAGACAATGGGATAGAGTTAATATCAACACCATCTCAGAGAACTTTCTTTTTAAAATTTTAAAGTTTTATTTAGTTCACTTAAAGGCAATAAACAAGTCCATGATTTCAGATATAATCATTACTTTCAGTCAGTCTCATTAACATCTTACTCGTGCCAGACGCACTGAGGCTGAGGGAGTTCTGTAGCCAATGAACTCACCGGCACTACCAATGATTTCCCATGCAACTTGGGTAAAGTATTTAACTGCTCTCTGTTCATTTCTCAAACTGGCCAATAATGTAAATCAACACACTGTAATGGAAAACCACTTGTAGTCAGGAGACGGGCCCTCTGGTAGCACCTTTGCTACTCACTCACTGTGTGAATACAGGCACTACACGGCTCCTCTCGGGGGCCTCATTTTCCCCATCTATAAAACACAGAAGCCGTACCAGGTGCACATACACAGATTCTATGTTCTAAACGTCTTCTCCTAGCTAATGCACAGACACTATCATGCCAAACAAAATAATGCCCCCTTCTTAAATTCTATAAAATACAAAGAACATAGAATCTGGGTCAAGACTTGGTAGAAAAAATACTGCATTAAAAATTTGGGAAGAAAAATGATGGTTTTCCAATATAATTGTCTCAAAAGTTTACGCCAAGTACCTTCCTAACAGAAAGTGGGCACAACTGCCATTCATGAAGCTCACAGAAGAAAATTCAAATGGCCCAGATGCCATGTGAGGGTCTAAAGTATGACCTTAGACAATTATACAGTCACTTATAAAGTCTGCATTATTTATTTCAAATCTCACAAAAGACTGTTTAGTACAAGCACTGGTGATCTTTTCATGATGCCAGAGCACACTAGAAAAAGGTACAAAGGAAATATGTTTCTCTTCACCTTTGTCTATAGGTGACTCTATGCTGGGCACAGCCCTGGCTTTGCAACTCAGAGAACTCAATTTTTGAATAGTACATGATTTAGGAACAGCAGAAAGTGGGTCAGTCAAAGGGCCAATGCAGCTTCTAGTATGTCTAATTAACCCCCAAGGAGTAAGCACAGACTCTTACAAGTTAGAACTAGATGACTATCAACTGTATCAGTGATTCTCAACTATGGCTGCATGTTAGAATCTCTGCGGCACTTAAAAAAATACTGCAGCTACCTCCATCCCTTTTGATATAAACAGTCTGGGGGACACCCAGGCAGAATAGTTTTTTTAAACACTCCCCAGGTGATTCAAATGTGCAGTCAGGACTAGGAGGCATTGATTGATGGAGATCAATCTCTTTTAGGTATTAAAAATAAAACCAAGAGAGTAGGAGATCCACTTAAGGTCACATAGTTGGTTGGCACTGCTGAAATCAGAAACTGTCTCTTGATTCTCTAGAAAAACAGCAGCAAAGGAGAAACTGTACTACAACAATCCAGTTTAAAAGGGTAAATGTTACAGTATGTTAAATGCATAGAATTCAAAATCATAAAGATCTTAGTTCAAGTTGGGGCTCTGATAGTTAACAGCTATTATATATTCAGTTTGTCAGCCAACTTTTTGGTTTAAACAAAAGAAGTAAGAGAATGAAAGAGAAGGGGGAAATGAAAATGAAAAAGCAGAAAAAGAGACCCCCAAAACAAATCAACTCATCTGAACATTAGCAGTTCATGAGAGGCATACAGATAGACCACTGGCAAAGCAGGGCTCTGCAAAGACTGAGGCGGCAAATCACCCTGGAAGAGAAATACAATCCAACATATACTCATGAAGAGCTTTGTCGTTAATGTTAGGTCAGGCTATACCAGAATGCTCTTCACATTTCCTAAGACCTGTTTGTATCCAAATATTATTGTATTTCCATATTCAAGACTCTTCCCAGAGAAAGTTAAATTTTCCTCATGCCACATATTCTAGTTTTTGGTTAACCAGTACTGTATGGAGAAAAGAAGAAAGCAGATACTTCAGAGCAAAGAAACATGAAAAATCCAAAATGTGCCTCTTTGTTTTGCAGATCTTTTTTTTTTTTTTTAAATAGTATTTGCGTTTTTATTTATTTATTTATTTTATTATTATTATTATTTTATTAGGATTTGGGTGAAGATTTACAGAGTAAATTCACTTTTCATACAGCAGTTCACATATACTTTGTCTCATGTCATTGACCAAAATTTACAATGCAGCAGCTCCCCCCCCACTTCCTCCCCATAGTTACCTCCTCCCAGTGTCCATCCCTTCATACTCTTCTGCACCCTGAGCTATCTCCCTGTGCATAAGCAGCCCTTCCTTCTCCCATGATTGTTCTCTCCAGGGCGTGTTTTGCAGATCTTTTAAGAATATTATTTAGTGTCTAGATCAAGTAGAATGACATTTTTTCAAAATACATGTTGAACCATATTTCCAAAGTAATATAGCATGTTCAGTCCAGCTTCTAAATTTATAACTGTGAATATAAATTACGAGGCACTACTTTAATGTATGTCAGATTTTTCAAAAAGTGATTGAAGCCAAATAAGCTTTTCTGAGAATAATTCTCATAAATATAACAAGCACCATTGCATATAATTTTTTTTCTAAACTGATCCAGTTTATGTACCATGTCTTAAACTTATTTTTATAGTGTAGACAGTCTAGACCAATGTTTCACACTATGGCAAAGGTTCAACAGGACTTGCTGGATGTATGAATGAGCAAGGACCAAATCTTAATTCTGAGTTTGTTTTAGTAACAGGAAGATAACCACATGACTAGAATCTCCTTATTCCTTCTTATTTTCATTGCTATAGCAATGTAGTAAGATTTATTTTGGCAATTCAGTGTAACTAGCAGACAAATTAGACTCCTCCTACACAGAAAGAGTAGTGTAAATGTTTAATACACTTAGCAGCTACCCAAAAGTAAGGAGGTTCAAGTCTACCCAGGGGTGCCCTGGAAGAAAGGCCTGGCAATTCTGAAAACACCAGCCATTGAAAACCCAAAGGAGCAGAGTTCTACTGATACACATGGGGTTGCCATGAGTCAGAATCCATCTGACAGCACTGGGTTTAGAAATAAGAAGGAAGATTGGGCAATCTACTTCTGTAGAGATACTGCCTTGGAAACCCAAGGAAGAGTCGCTATGAGTTGAATCTACTCGACGGCAGTGAGTTTGGTTTCTGGTTTGGGTTTAGAAAGAAGACAGAAGGAAGGAAGTGAGAGGAAAGGAGGAGGACACTGCTATGCTAGAAGGAGCCTCTCTAATGATGACAAGGATTAGGTCAAATCTCAGTCAAGCTAAAAGGGTATTGATCTTATGAAACACTCAAGTATCAACCAAAAATTGAGACGAAATATTCTATTTCTATAAAACTGATCTACTTGACCCTTCATATCACAGAAAATGGAACAAGTTCACTATAAAGGAAGATGTTTTTCATTTCCTTCTGTAGTGTTCCACCTAGCATAGCATACTTGATGAGGCAACCAAGTATTATAGGAAAAAGACATTACACAGGCAGCAATTCCAGTGTGTGCCAATTAGCCTACCCCCTTCAGACGACATGTCATGTTCAGCCCTCCACTCTCTGGCCACTGCCACCACATTGGCTCAGGCCCTAACACCTCACTCTTAAGCTGCTGTTCAGCTGCTGTAGTCTCCCTGACTTCAGACTCTACCTCCACCTCCTTCAAATGCCAAACCACTCAGCACACCCCCATCCCATTAACCTTTCAAAGATGCCAACTTCTTTGCATCAATCTCTTGTTAAAAAATTTCCAGTGACTCACCAACTCCTATAGGAAAAAGCCCAGACTGTTCTGCCTAGCATTTGGGTCTCTTTCTAAGCTAGTTTCCAATACTAGGCGACATTCTCCTAGTGATGCCAGAACATATGACCATTATTCTTTTTTTTTTTCCCAGATATAATTTTATTTATTTTGCTGTTGTTGCTGAGAATATACACAGCAAAACATACACTGATTCAACAGTTTCTACATGTACCATCTAGTAACACTGATTACATTCTCCGAGTTGTATAACCATTCTTCAAGCTGTACAACTGTTAGTTCTCATCCTCCTTTTCTGAGTTGTTTCTCCATCATTAACATAAATTCACTGCCCCGTAAGGTTCCTATTTAATCTTTTAAGTTGCTACTATCAACTTGATACAGCCATTATTCTTGATGCCAAGTTTCCTTCATGGTTTATAACCCTCGCCTTCATCAACTCAAAACTTAGCCATCCCAGGAAGACTACCACAAAGACTCACTTTCTCCTCAAAGCTCTCTGTCCACTCAAGCCCACAGCAACAGCCACATCTCTGACTCTATGCACCTACTGCCTGTATCAGTCATTCTGCATTCATTACAGATGGCCTTGCATCATTACCTGGCATTTTAAAAGTGCACACTCAGATTTCACAGCAGGATTACGAGCTCCTTAAGGATAGGGTCCATGTCTTCCAATTTTGGGGGTATTTCTCAAAGCCAGAGACAATGCTAGGCACATTATAATCATACTATAAATTCTTGCTGAATTTTTAAATATATATTCAAAATTCCTAGAAATGCCTGGGGACTCAAGAATTAAAACAAATCTACAGATGGCACATAATCCTAATGGTTCCACATACATGAGAATAACTTAAAATTTACAAGGAACAAGAAAAAAATGACTTTTAGTTCCAAGTTATTTACCATTCTTCATCACAACATTGGACCAGACATTTGCATTCAAGGCTTGAATAATTCGCTTTACTCCTGTAGATTCTGGGAAGTCATCTAATCAGAGAGAAAAAATATATATATTTACACACACGCTTATACATACATACAAATACATTCAACTACATGTAGAAATATAACACTCAAGCCATAGTCTCAAATAACTGTGGCTTAATTATCTTATTTATTTGTTACTTTACACTGTAATTTACATATTAAAGAGAAAAATAAAGCAAATACAGAAGTTAGAGCTCCTAATAAAACTATTCTAGAAATAAAACAATGAAATAAACACACAGTATAAGAGATTTATAACTTAAAGTCAACTCCCTTGCCTCACCAATGGAACCCATTCATATTCACCCAAAAAGTAAGTTTTCTTTAATTATGTAATACCAGGAGAGTAAGCAATACCAGTCTTGCTTATCCACAGGAAATAAGTTTCCTGAAGGTAGAAATGATTTTCTTAGATGGTATAAAATCGTGTAAATGCCCTATCTTCTCCTAGGAACCACGGATAATGATTATTAGTAATGACAGATACCCAGAGAAGAAATTCTTGATCACAGAAAAATAGTTTTTAAGAGTGAGAAGTAAAATTACTAAGTAAGTATAACAGGCAGGGAAAGGGTCATAAAAAATAATAACAAACTAAATATTGGTGCTACCTTGCTTCTGGGATTTGACTGGAACAACTCAAAATATGAATATTAATCCTAGTGAGCATACCAAAACCAAACCAAACTCACTGCCGTCAAGTCGGATCTCACTCATAATGACCCCTCCTTGGGTTTCCGAGGCGGTATCACTGTGGAAGTAGATTGCCCAACTTTCCTTCTGAGGAGTGGCTGGTGGGTTTGAACCGCCAGCCTTCTGGTTAGCAGTCAAGTGCCTTAGGCACTATGCTACCAGAGCTCCTTGTTGTTGTTGTTGTTATGTGCTGTCGAGTCAGACCTGACTCATAGCGACCCCTCCTTGGGTTTCCGAGGCAGTATCACTACGGAAGTAGGATTGCCCAACCTTCCTTCCGAGGAGTGGCTGGTGGGTTTGAACCGCCAGCCTTCTGGTTAGCAGTCAAGTGCCTTAGGCACTATGCTACCAGAGCTCCTTGTTGTTGTTGTTGTTATTTGCTGTCGAGTCAGACCTGACTCATAGCGACCCCTCCTTGGGTTTCCGAGGCAGTATCACTACGGAAGTAGGATTGCCCAACCTTCCTTCCGAGGAGTGGCTAGTGGGTTTGAACCGCCAGCCGTCTGGTTAGCAGTCAAGTGCCTTAGCCACTATGCTACCAGAGCTCCTTAGCAAGGTGTAATTATGTACTAAGGAAATGGAAATCCTGCAGGTATTGGGATTATAAGACCACATATGGAAATTAACAACAGAAATAGTTTTCATATGGTTGAAAAAGAAAAGTCTCCTAAGAGTTTACAGAACACAGTTCACATAGAGCCTTGTCTCTAATAGCTGGCCCTGGGTGGTACAAGTAGAAGAGCAGTGGAGAAAAGGTAAGGGATTAAGAAATCACAAAGATTTAAGGTACACATCCTCTATTTTTATCTGTAAGAAAAACACACAGATAACATTTTCAAAAGTCCTAAAATGGGTAATGGTAAGACCCTATCAATGAATTTTTCTCTAATCTTTTCAAATAGCTTGGGGGTGGGGAGTAGAATAATGCTCTTTTAATTTTACTGTGATTCTTCTTCCCTGAATTAAAATAATCTCTCACATCTGAATCAAAATGCCATGTTTTCTATTGACATAAACACTTACCATCCTCCTCAGGCAACTCCTCAGGACTAAGTTCTACCAATTCAAAGCCATGTTTGATGCACCATTCTTGAGCTTTTTGTCGATTTACACCTATATAACACATAAAAGAAATGTTTATAAATACAAAGAAAATAAAACATGAGTATCTCTGCAATATTCTCCACAATCTCAACGTATTTCTCTTGTATCAAGTCTTGTTCTAAAAGCACTTCAAATAAAGTAATACAGAGAAAAGTGTTCCTGAGTGCCCATTCTTTTAAAAAAATATAGAGAGAGCAAGGTTCCAAAGAAAAGTGGCTGAAATATTCTGGTATAGTAAAGTTTAGCACAATTCTGAGTTAACGAAACAAATGTATTCTGTTCACCAAGGAATGGGAAATGTATGTACCAATTATGTCCATCTAAGTACCTTACCATTTTCAGACACTCTGTCACAGACTAAGATCATCACCTCAGGTAACCATGCTTCTGCAAGTGGCAGCCATGAGGAGACACTATCAAGACCAGATTTCTAGAGGTAGGAAAAAAAAAAATACAAACAAAAACATTAAAAAAAAAAAAAAAAAGGTATTAAGAGAATCCACAGAAAATGTAGGGGGGAAGCATTATTCACAGCTCCATGAAAAAAAAAGTCTTACTTGTGTGCTATCAAAGTAAACCACAAATGCTTGGACAGACTCTGCAATCTCTGCAGTGACGAGAAATTTGTTTGGCACCACGCATAGATTGATGTCCGCTGAATAGTATTTATTATCAATGGTCCAGGGATAAAATCTCACCGCATCATTGGAAGGTGCTTCTGCAATAAGATCCTCTGTTCCAAGGATATCTACGTAAATGACATAACATTACCATGAACAAAGCAAAATCAGTGTACATCAGTCAATTTTCTCAGTGGGATACTAGATTAATCTGGTACTTTTACTGTTTCTCTTTTTGTAAGGATTTCAAAGGGCCTTGTATTTATTAGAGTATCTGATCATTTGATTATGAAAGTGATGGTGACATAATTTAGGTCATTGGCTTTTTTCCATTAAAGATGGAAAAATTATACTAGATTAGACAGCAGGAAAGAACAAAATAGTCACCCAACCAGTATCTAGAAATGAGCAAGTAGAAGATGAAGAATGATAACTCCATTAATTTTATTGCTTAAGTACTTCATGAGAGCTCTGGTGGCTTAGTGCCTAAAGCATTTGACTGGTAACCAGAAGGCTGGCAGTTCAAACCCACCGGCCACTCCTCAGAAGGAAGGTTGGGCAATCTACTTTCGTAGTGATACCGCCTTAGAAACCCAAGGAAAGGTCGCGCTATGAGTTGGACCCGACTCAACAGCAGTGAGTTTGTGGTTTTTTTTTTGGTAAGTACTTCACAGGAGATGGAAGGTAATTCGTAACTATTTTGTACTAATTTTAAGATAAAAGAAAGAGAAGATTAAGACTAAGTCATTAATAAAATACAGACACTGCATATATTCCTTAGGCCAAATGCTTAGACGTTAATTCAACTAATGAAATAAAAGAACAGATACTGATAAATGATCCCACTTACATTTATAGTTAGCCTTGTTCACATTCTTAAAAGCTAACACAAATTCTTGTTTGACAAAGACATCTCTGGCAAATGTTAAATGTGTAACAGCCAAGCAAATTAAATCCTTTGGAATAGAAACTAAATCTTTCAGAAATCCACATGCAGTTTGGTAGTATAACTAACACGAAATTCCTTACAGTAAAAGCCAAGACAATGATGAACAAATAAATATAGATGTAGTCAGGGAACCATCAAATGTCAGGGACATTTTCACATCATATAGTATTTTTCTAACTCAGACTTTTACCTCACACACCTAGTCCCATAACCTTCATTTTAAAAAATGTGGAAAATGAGCTTAAAGAAGTAAAATGTCATGCCGCTAACTGGGTTATCTTAGAAGAATGTACAGATAAATGGCCACAAACTCCTTTTCAACACATACTAAGATGAACAAATAAAATATTCTTCAAACTCACAATTCAGCAGGACAAAAACTAGAAGTTAAATTTTAAATTTCAGAGCTAAGCTTATACGTTTGGAAACATAGTTTTTGCTCAACATAAAAGTATGGGGAAATTATTTAGTTCAGACAACTGTTAGGAATAACGTTTAATAATGTGGAATATATGTATATACATGTGTGTATGCTTGCATTAATAATGTGCTTATTAATTACCATTTAGACTATTTAGATCCATTAAGGATGGCTCATTTTATTAAACAGTGTTTAGAATTACAAGACCAAACCAATATTTGTTTACCTATAGTTCTTCAAATTTCATTTTTATATTGTCTGATTTTAACATGATTAAAATTTTCCTTAACATACAGAAAGGAGCTGCTTTTTTTCCACTTTTTTCAAAACCTAGCTCAGTTTGGAACCAAGCATACACACATGTATTAGTTTTACTAGTAAAGTTTTACCATGTAGTTATTAGGACGAATTGATCTAAAAAATGAAAAGCTTTTTTTTTAAGGAAAAAAGTAAATTTAAAATAAAGCTCTTGATATTAAGGCACATTGTGAAACTACTGAACATTTTTCAATTATTAACAGAAGGCATATAACAATATTCAAAAACATGAGTTTATACTTATACTATTTCTTTTAACAGTCATATTAACGGGTCTTCCTTGTAGGTGTATGGATATTATCCTAACACTGACAGCATTGTACTTCAGGACAGATCTTGAAACATCCTTTGTGATGATGAATGCCACGCCATTCCTTTTCAAACTGTCATTCCCGGCATGGTCTTC